CGCCTGAATGATACTGGCAAGTAATCCTTTTGCATCAAGATATCCATTTCTCATTGGCACAATGAACCTGGGCAGAATTACAGTCCTGTCAGTATATGATACAACTATGGAAAAAGAATACAGAAGTGCACTGATCATTTGATCCAAACAAAGAACCGGGTGTTTACTTTGCCTCTAGCAACTTTGCTAGTCGAACTGCATCTTCTTGTCCTGAAACTAGAGTAAACTTGGGCAGGAGCTGAGAAGTTACAAAAGATATTGAAAGTTGAAACAATGAGAGTCTGCAAGCACTGCGGCATACTGCACACCTAGAAACAGAAACAAGAGAGGTGTCTAAACTCTATTCATAGTAACCATCTGTACTTAAAGTTGAATAATGCACATTCTTTTTAATGCCTGTGCATCAGTATAACAACACGAACTCACGAAGTACGAAAGAAGCAAGTTACAAGTGGACGTGTAGTCGAACAAATTTCGAAAACTTACATTGGTGAAAAGAGGATCCAGCAGCGGCTTGGCATTCAGGGTCAGTATTACTCTCAGGTTGGGATACATTTAGAAAGCTGGTTTAACGTCTTCAAAACAATGGTCATCAAGGCTCTGTGTAATCAATCAGTAAGCAGTCCACTTGAGGGAGACATGGACAATCTTGATGGTACCTGCAAGCAATTTCTCACGGATAAAGTGACAGTCAAGCTCAATGTGCTTGGTCCGTTCGTGAAATGTTGGATTTTCGACGATGTAGATGGTAGATTGATTGTTGCAGAATATGGTTGCAGGCTGGGGATGAGAGATGCCGAAGTCATGGAGCAAATAAAGAAGCCATTGGCCTCACAGGTGGTGAAGGCGAGGGCCCTGTATTCTACCTCACACGAGGACCTGGAAATTGTTGTTTGCTTCTTGCTCTTCCAAGAAACAAGGGAGTCACCCAAGTAAACACAGTAACCTGTGACAGAGCGGCATGTGTCAATGCAGGCCGCCCAGTCAGAGTCACTGAATGCCTTGAGGTGAAGAGAGGAAGAGGAAGAGAAGAAGATGCCACTGGATGGAGGTGTCTTGAGATAACGTAAGATGCGGAGAACAACTTTGAAGTGGGTATTGCTTGGATTGTGCATATACTGACTGACCTGCCGAGTTGCATAACTGATCTCGGGCTTGGTGGTGGTGAGGTAAATGAGCTTCCCAACCAACCTTCTGTAGAATTCAAGGTCAGGGTAAGGGTTGAGTGGGAGGCAGAGAGGTGAATCTTGTAGTCAATGGGAGTGGAAGCAGGTTTGGAGTGAAGAAGATCCGCCTCCTCAAGAATCTCCATAGTGTATTTGCGCTGTGAAATGTGGATACCTTTCTTACTCCTGGCAACCTCAATGCCAAGGAAAAACTTGAGATTACCAAGGTCTTTGATGCTGAATTCTTGGTGAAGATATGCCTTGAGGCGATCTATTTCAACAAGATCATTGCCACCCACTATAAGGTCATCAACATAAACAAGTATACTGGTATAAGAGCTGCCATTGGATTTAAAGAAGAGGGAATGGTCGACTTTGCTGGACTGGTAGCCTAGATGGAGAAGAGTGTCTGCCAGTTTGGCAAACCACTGTCTAGAAGCCTGTTTAAGGCCATAGAGAGATTTCCTAAGTTTGCAGACATGATGTTTAAAACCAGGAGGGGGGCAATATCCTGGAGGTAATCTCATATACACATCCTGATCTAAATCGCCATGTAAGAAGGCGTTGTTGACATCAAGATGGTGAACAAACCAGGATTGTGCACCTGCAAGAGCTAGAAAGAGCTTGATTGTGGTCATCTTCACGACAGGGGCAAAGGTGTCTTGATAATCCACACCCTCTTGCTGTGTGTACCCTTTGGCTACCAAGCGAGCCTTACTGCGTTCAAGGCTACCATCTGGGAGGAATTTGAACATGTAAACCCATTTGTTGCCTATGACTCTGGTATCAGGAGGTCTCTTAATAATGTCCCAGGTATGGTTGGCTTCAAGGGCTTGTGTTTCTGATTTCATAGCCTCATTCCATTCATCAGATAAGAAAGCCTCCTGATAAGTTTCTGGTTCTTTATGGGTGGAAATGCTCAACGCAAACTTTTGATGAGAAGAAGAAAGATGGGAATAATTAATGACAGAAGAGAGGGGATATGTGATACCTGGAGTATGCTGCCTTGGAAGATGATTGGTGGAGGAAAGCTGCTGAAGCATGTTGCAATGGTAGGATTTAAGATGGGGAGGAGGTTTGGTTTGGTGATTGGATTTTCTAACAGGTTGAGAACTGGTGGGAGGAGGTGGAAGTGGTGGGGGAGGTGGTGGTGAAGGAGATGGGGAAGGAGGTGAGGAGGAAGGAGATGCAAGGTCCTCAGTTTCTGACTCAAAGTGTAAATCATTGAGGAATGGTTCAGGGGCTGCAGGGGAATGGTGAGGAGTACATGAGGGAGTGAAAGATAGTAGGATGGTAAGTGTTGATAGGTGAATCATCAGTTGTGGGGGAATCTTGTTGGGTCTGGAAGGGGAATTGATCTTCATAGAAATGGATGTCTCTAGAGGTGAAAACCTCATGGGTAAGAAGATCATAGACTTTGTATCCTTTAATTCCAGTTGTGAAACCAATAAAAACCCCTTTCCTAGCCCTGGAATCAAAAAAATTTCTGTGATTGTGAAGAGTACTAGCAAAACATAAACAACCAAACACTCTCAATTCTGTGAAATCAAGAGGTTTATTGAATAGCTTTTCATAGGGTGTTTGGTTCCCCAGAACAATTGTAGGAACCCTATTTATAAGATAGATAGACATGATGTTTGATGCAATCTCCCCAAAAACCAGCTGGGAGGTTGGCCTGGAATTTCAAAGCTCTAGCCACAGCAAGAATATACTGGTGTTTTCTTTCCACCTTGTTGTTTTGCTGTGGTATTTCAACACAGGAAAGCTCATGAACAATTCATGTTTGGTTAAAATAATCATTCATATGGAATTCTTGTCCTTGGTCACTCCTGATTCTTTTGACATAGGTCTGAAACTGTATTTCAACATAGGAGCAGAAGTATTTGATTTTAGTTCTGGTTTCAGATTTAACAGAGAGAAGAATAACCCAAGTCATCCTTTTAAAGTCATCTACAATTGTTAAGAAATACTTGAAACCATCATAGCTAGGAATAGAGTTTGGACCCCAAAGATCAACATGTATAAAGTCAAAAGGAGAACTACAAACAGTGTTGCTACAAGGAAATAGTAATCTCTTTTGTTTAGCAAAATGACAGGTATCACACGGTGTGGAGGCATATGTTTCTATGGATGTACAAAGTTTCCTCAAATGATGGATCTTAGAATGAGAAACGTGTCCTAGCCTGTAATGTCATAGGTCAAAAGTTTGTGCACTAGTGGCAGCAAAATGTTTAGGTTTACTATCTATGTAGGGGCTATCAAACAGGTAAAGGCCATGGGTGAGCTTAGCAGAACTAATCATCTTCCTCAACTGCATATCCTGTATGAGGCATACATTGGAAAAGAAAGTTAAGCAAAGGGCTGAATTGGTGGCTAATCTGCTCACAGAGATGAGGTTAAAATTGAACTCAGGTACAAACAAGGCATTTTCAAGGGTCAGGTTAGCTACACATGTGACAGTTCCAGTATGTGTAGCTTGAACATGATCTCCTGTGGGAAGGGTTATAGGAATGTTGGAAACCTGCCTAGGATTCATAAGGTAGTCAAGTGAACAAACAATGTGATCCGAGGCACCAGTATCGAGTATCCAAGCATGCCTAGGTGATTCATTTTGAGCACTTAAAGTATATGTACCTGGATTCTTTTGGATCCATGTTGTACCAGAGAATGATGAAGATTGATTGTGCTGTGGCTTACCACCTGTGCCCTTTTCCCTCGTGAGGCTCATTAGCTTCTCATTATCAGCCTTGCTGATTTTGATCTCCTCTTGTTCAGGAGCAGCTGAGGTGGCATTGGCAGATGCCTTGCCCCTATACCACCATTTTTTGGTAGATATCCATTTTTTTGGAAGCACTTGTCCTCAGTGTGGCCTTGCTTCTTACAGTAGGTGCATTGAACTGGGCTTCCTGTGGAGCTTCCAGATCTGGTGTTGCTCATCCCAGGTGGCCATCCATGCTTGTGATAGCATGTGTCTTCTGTGTGCCCTGAAAATTTGCAGTAGGTACAGAATGGCCTAGGCCTCCTTCCTTGATAGTTGTTGTTTCCTTGTGCAGCAAAAGCCATCCCCTCAGTGGCTAAATTTTTTCCTGGTTGAGTTCCAGATTGTTGCCTCTCATGCTGTAACATTCTTTGAAAAACACGATCTATTGATGGTAAAGCTTCACCAAATAGAACTTGTGATCTTACTCGAGATAAATTGTCATTCAGGCCTCTCAAAAACTGATTCACATAGTTTGTATCTCTGTATGTTTGGACTAACAACACGGCTCTACAGGTAGGGGTGTTCAAACGGTCTGGTTACCATGGTAACCGTTTTAACCAGTACTGTTTGGATAATTTGGTTTGGTTCATTTGGATAATTGGTTTGGTTTGGTTAAAGTTTTTAGCTTGTTTGGTTTGGTTTCAGACACTTCTAACCAGTCAAACCAAATTAACCAGATAAATAATTAGCCATATATCTAATATATACACATACTTAATACTTTGAATAACCACTCAAGAGTTAAACGTTCATCCCTTTTAGACTCATAAAATATAAAGCTTGATATTGTTCCTATAATGTATATTTGTATATGTAGAGTGTAGACCACAACATATGAACGCCTAATTAGATAAATCTCATACATTATGTTGGATGAAAACTTGAAAGCAATGTCCTTTTCAGCCTATGAAAATTGCTAAAAGGCTAAGTCAGTTCAAACAAACACAACAATTCATTAACCCATACCATACATTGTGATAAATTTTTGCTAGATGAATACTTCTATACTAACCGTAAGATAATTGTCTTAGTTGCATGTATTTATGTTAAAGGTCAACTATAACCAAGTGTTGATTGTTATGTTTTATTCATTATATAAATTGTGAACTTGATAAATTAACCGAAAATTTTCTCACTTAATGATAATGTGATTTTATATTGGTTAATCTGGTTAACCAATTAACCTAACCAATTAAACTTTAGTTTGGTTAATTTGGTTGTTGTATTAGTTTGGACGGTTTGGTTATGATATTGTATTCCATGGTTAATGAAATTTAACCTTATTTGGTTTGGTAATAACCATGGTAAGCATTTGAACACCCCTATCTACAGGTGGTGTGGCTGGTTGTGGTACAAACACAAGGTTCCAGAGGCTGGTAATTATCCAGCTCATCTCTTAGAGCTATGAGATTCCCATAGTACTCAGTAACAGATTGATTATCTTGCTTAAGATTGCAGATGGATTCAATCAGCTCTGCTATCCTTACCATGTCTCCCTGACCATATCTGTCTCTGAGACTTATCCATGCTTCAACTGCTTTTTTGCAAGACATAATGGTCTTCCTTATCCCAGGATCTACTGCCTGTTGAATCCAGGAAAAAACCATTATGTTGTTTCTGTTCCAGGCCCAGGCATTAGGACTTTCTTGACATGGATCTGGGATGGAACCGTCCACAAAACCAAGCTTGTTCTTTGCACCCAAGGCATTGTGAACAGCCTTACTCCAATCATTGTAGTTTGTTGGTGTAAGCTTCTCTGCAACGAGCTGGAGTCCTGGCTGCTCCGAACCATGAAGATAAAACGGATCAGACATTGGATCTGCAACTGCTGGTGCTGGGTCGGCAGGTTGGTTTGCCATGGTTGTCGGCGGCTACTCGGTTTTAGCAACCAGGCTCTGATACCATAACAACCTTTTAGGGTTGAGGATCACAAGCCTTAGTTGTTTTCATTGCATCCTCAGCTTACATAGTTGGGCAGTTCACTTACAGACAGATTGAGAGAAGAAGACAAAGCTTGGGTCTTAAGCAAGTACAACTCAGAAATGGAAAGAAGTACAAATAACAAGTTTAGGGAGCTGTGGGTAATTTGCCAGAAACGACGTCACTCCAGCTTCTCGGTTGAGTCTGTCTTGGCGAAACGATGTCGTCCGGTTTAGTTGCAACGGGCCTTGACACAACGACAGCGTTTGAGTCAACGGTCTTCTTCTCCAATGGTTCTGGATTCAAATTTGGGAAAAAACTGATTGTTTTCCCTGATACTTTCTTCATCTACAACAGCAGAAGTTCCGGTTTCTTGAACCAGAAATGTCTGCTTCTTGGAAGCTTAAGCGAATTTGAAGAGACGCGCGTCCGAATCGAAGAACTAGACCCACGAAGGATGGGAATGGAGGTGGCGAAGAGCGACGAAATGGGTGTAGTTGTAGTGGGAGTTGAAGAAGGAAGAGCAACCAATTGCACGGTCATTTCTATATCAGCTGCCTTCTGTCCTTCTCCTTTCCCGCTCTCAGTTTCTGTTGCAAGTTTCAGACTTTCGAGTTGCGTAGCGCAAATGGCTGACTAGGAGTCGAAGCACAAGTTTTCGGTCAGCTTCTGGCTGGATTTTTACCGCCATATCCGATTCCCCAATTTGTTGCAAGGGAGCTGATGAGATTAGATGAGACGAGACGAGGCGAGACGATCAATCATTCAAATGGCAGTTTGTTACATCACGTGGCAGCTCAAACCACTCAGTGGGCTGGTGGTTGGGCCTTAGCATTGTAAACTGTCTTGCAATTTTTTTTTGGTTGAAAGCAAATTTTTTAAACGGTTAAGAGATATACAAAATTTCTAGAGCGGTTGTAGTGTTAACCTCATCATTATCGTGATTCGTGACTACTAGGTCCATCCACATTCATGAAATACAATTCCTATTTCATAAGTAGTTCCTACCGTTACATCACCAGTTTTTACAATTTCACCACATACCACTTTCATTTGCTCTACATTAATGAAATTCACTTTCTGTTTCATATGGTGGACCCCAAATATTTTTTTAATACAATTATACAGTTTATATAATCTACATCATTTTACTAATTTAAAATATATCACATAATTAAAATAATATATTTTACTTTTTTAATTATCAATAATAAAATAAATTTACTAATTCATTGAAAAGGATCTTGTATTCGTATTATTTTCAAGTCATTTCGTAATTTTCTTTTAATTTGATGGCTCTCGTACTAAATACGTATAAATGGTTAACTTTACTATTATTTATATATTTATTTTTATAATAATTAATTTTATATATTAATCTCTTCCAACCTAAACGAAACAAAATGGAAATGAAAAAAAAGAAAAAAGCTTATAAAACGTGGCGGGGCCCACTCGCCATTTCATTTGGCATTTCATAAAGTGGAAGCTCCCACTATATGAAATAGGTTCTCCAACCATGAAATAGGAAGATGCAGGTGCCACATCACAATGGAAGAGTTCCATGACAGCCGTTGTAGAAGCTCTTTTTGTTTACAATGAGAAACAACTTTTATTCCAGCAAACGAAAGAAAAGGTAATGAGGTTACATTCTTAAAGAAGATCAGAAATTAGATCAAGAATATTAACCAATCATCAGGAAGCGTAGCTCTCGCCTTTGAACGTGCAACCCAATCAGCTCTGACATTGAGTGCCCTCGACACTTCCTTGACTTTAATGAACGGATTTGTCCTAAAGATATTGACAATCGATCCAATCCAGACTGCACATCTCCACGACCATCTCGCGAGATTAGAATTTAAAGCTTTTACCAGCACCTGACAGTCAGAATGAACTGTACACTCGGTTCCATATTCTTGTGCTAATTTCAAAATGAGCCTTAGTTTCTGCTTCAATCGGGGTGGAACAAAGAAGATTGTTAGCTCGCCCATCACACACTTGTCCATGATGGTTAAAGACCACAACGCCATATGCCGCCGGCTGGGAGTCGCTAATGAACGACCCATCACAGTGAATCACCAAAGAGGGATTACTTGGTGGAGGATTCGTAATGGACAGGGTCCCCTGATCTGAGAAGGAAGGGAAGGCATGAGAGGTGGGGGCCTCGGACAAGAGCTCCATTCGGTAAACTCTTTAACCGCTTGTTGGCACACATTCAGAGGCCACATGATTCTATCTTGAAAGCACATTCGTTCCTGGTTTTCCAAATATTCCAACAGAGAAACACAATATGGATCAAGGAATTCTGATGGACTGCATCTTAGAGGGAGCAGAACCAGTCAAAGAACAAAGTTCTCTAGGGAGGCAAAGGGAGGGACGGGAAAATAGTGGTCCATGCCTCATTGGCATGAGGGCACTCGAACAGGCAGTGATGGATGAATTCAATGGGGAAATGGCACACGGGGCATGTCGCATTGGGAGCACATTTTCTGTGAAGAAGTCTCTCTTTCGTTGCCAACCCATTTCTGGAGCACCTCCAAATAAAGAATTTCAGCTTTGGGGGAGGTGAAGGCTCCAAATCCATTTCCATTTCTCAACATTCCCGCTTGGTTGAAAATATATATTGGCATTGCGAATCGCATGATAGGCTGACTTCACAGAGAAACTCCCCTCTTTAGTGTAATTCCAAGCCCAGAAATCACCTGCACCTTCCTCTCCAATAGGAATCCTCAAAATCGCTTCCAGTTCTCTGATATAGAGACATGACCCTATATAACATCCATGTTCCAACTCTAAGTGTAGGAATAGGAAGAGGAAAATCCAATTAAGCAAAAAGTAAAAGAACAAAAATATTTTTTTTGGTTGAACAAAAATACTTTTACCTCCATGTGTTTCTATAACACGTGTAGTGTAAAGACTAAAGAGAGAGGAGGTAATGCTCGTTTCAATGAAAGAGCACCATCAAACAACCAAATAAATAATCAATCATCAACCCTTACATACCTTCTCTCTCTTACTTTTAGTTTGAATTTTGCTCTGCTTTCTCTCTTCTTCCAAGCTTCCATTTCAGACTTCAGGGGCTGCCGCCGGCTCCCTCTTGGAGACCGGCGGTGGCCCAAATCCTTCCATGTTCTGGGTTTTTGTTGCTTTGCTCTGGTTTTTTTTCATTCGGATTTCAGTTCTGTTTTTCCTTGCCGTTGTGGCCTTCTTTGCCGTTGTGGCCTTCTGATTTTCCCCTTTCCAGTTGAGCTACTGCTCTTCTTTCGGGTCTTGGGTTCCGTCCTGGGCTTGCTCAATGTTGGAGCCGGAGTTAGCAGCTTGGGTGCATCTTCCAGATCTGGATGGGGGTGTTGTTTCTTAGGTTGGTGGTCTCACCTTTTGGTGAAGCCATTCTCGGCTCTCACCCTCTGACCTCCCCTGTGAGTTTGTGTTACTCGGTGAGCCGTCGGAGCGTGGAGGGTTGGGTCTTCCCCGGTGGTTGCGACTGGGAATCGGTTTTCTCCGTAGAGATGTGTGGCTCCCGTGGGATCTTCTCCTCTGCTGCGAATCTGATCTCGCTCCCTCAACTTCCTCTGCCTTTTCAGCTTGGAGCATCCGTTTCTTTTCCTCCTCCACCGCCATGCAATCTTATTTTTAGGATTCACTGTGTTGGATGCCATTGAGTTTTCTTCGGGAGGCGGCAAATGGTTTGATGATGATCACTTGCCATGGAGTTTGATTTGATCGGACAAGCTGTTTTTGATCTTGTTGTACTTTGAATGGTTGGGTGCAATAGGGTTTCCGATGAGCTGTTTTCATTTTCGAGGGTTTTGCTCTCTTGGACGGCTGCTTTCAGGCTGTGTTTCGCTCTTGTTTGCTGCATTTGCTCAACATAATTTGTTTGTAACTGTGTTCCTTGGGGTTTCCTCTTGTTGGAACCAGAATGTTGGTTTCTGTCTCCCTCTTTGTAACTGACTAATTAAAGTGCAATAAAGATTCCCACTTGTCAAAAAAAAAAAAAAAACAACCAAATAAATTAGCCTTTTTCCATCCAACTCAGTTTTTATTTTCCCCTTTGAAGGCCACGTGGATGAGGCAAAACAACTAGGGGACCGGCTATCCCTGTGTTCAGATGGTTGTGTCTTGTGTGCAATATGCATAGCTTTCATATCCCAGGTTGGATGGTAAACACCCTGAAGTTCAACGATAGTAAAAAAAAAGTGGACAAAAAAAAAAACACCATTAAAGGTCAGTTTGAGTAAATCTTATGTGTCAAAAGAAGGGATAGCACAGAACATTTTGTTCCTTTTCTACAAGCAAACATGTAACACACCATCCATCAACGAAACAAAAACCGAACAAGTGACGGATGTACATTCCTCGCAAATAATGAAAACTATAAAAGCCTAGAGGAGACTTCACTTGTTTTCAGGTTGCAACAGCCGACGACTATTCAAATCCTGGTGGGAAAAATCAACCCTTCCAAGTCTGATCACCGGGAAGCCGTAGAGGCTACTGCTCTTCACCGCAGAACGACTGTAGCAGAGTGCAGACAAGAGAGAAGGTTAATTCATTGCTATCCGTAGCAACCCTCGAGGGGGAAAGAAAGACCCCAATCTCCTCTACTCATTCGTAGCGCAGCAGGAATAGAGAGCGCATGTGCCATGGCGGAGAAACAGCTGATCGTGGCGGTTGAAGGTACCGCCGCCATGGGACCTTATTGGGTGACGATTGTTTCTGATTACTTGGAGAAAATCATCAGGTACTTGGCCGTTTTCTTGACCTTCGTAATTCTGGGGATTCAACGGGAGCGAAATTAGGGGTTGTGCCGTTGATTAGGGTTTTTTTGTATTGTTCATTCTCGGTTCGGAACTCATAATTCAGTAGTTGTTTTGCTGCGTGCTCTCGACCTGTTTGAAGCCTTGGGGACCGATAAAGTTTCAATTTTTATTAGAGGATTTATCGATCTTTCTGGTTTGTGAAGAAAAAATGGGGGAAATTTTTCATCCTTGCTCAAAAGAGATTCCTTTTGCTAGGTCTACGGATCATCTAAGTAAATGGAACTTGGCAATGCTTTAAGCATATGCTGCTGCTTGTAGTTTCATTCCTTTCCAAGCCTTTTGCTTGTTTGTGTATGTTGTAATGTAACCCAGTTCTATTGTGCAGGAACTTTTGTGGTAGCGACCTGACTGGTCAGGTAAGCGTATTTTTCTGTAATATAGTCAATTGTGATCCTGGAATATTTGGACATTTCACCGAAACTGACCCCATATACAAACGGTTTGACAAATATCAATAGCTTATACAGAAGAAGTAGCAGTGTGGAACATGTTGTGTTGCATCACCATGCATGCCTGTGCCAACTTGAGAATAGCACTCACATCATTGAGGTGCTATAAATAGATTAACATAGCTAGCATACGCTCAGAACTTTCGTGGACCGCAACTGTTGCAGTCTCGTGACTTGATCTATTTTATGATTAATGTTTGCTGCACATTAATGTTACAAATTTGCTCTTATCTTGTGCAAGTTACTGAGACAGAATAGTGGTTCTATATTCAGCAATTAGACCTGTAGGTGGCATTCTGTTCATCTGGTCGACTAGGTCACTTAGGGTACCAATTCTGTACGCTTATCGAATGATATTGCACCTATTAATCTTGTCATTAGTCTGGATGACCACAAGTGGCCCTTGAAGAAGTTATACCTGTAATTAGCGGCTAGCATGTTTTAGATATGTTGCCCAGCCATTTTCCAACTCACAAAATTCTATGTAGATATTGCTGTATGCAATTGCTCATCGATGAATTAGGCTATCTGTTTACTGACGTTGATTGGTGTGTATCTCTTGAAGTTTCTCTTAGATAAATTTTGTGTGTGAATATGGTTGATAGTTCCTTCCCGTCCATCTGATAAGTTTGAGACTTCGTACCCGAAGTCTAAAGAGAGAAATTACTGATCTCTATTTTGCCTAATGAAATGAAAGGTACTTTACAGGTAACCCAAGGGTCTAAAAGCATCTTTGTAATTCTAGCTATAACGTTTAGCCTTTTCTTGTTTTCTTATCCATTTATGTGGATCCATACATGAGCATATCAAGATGAACATCTCCTTGAAAGATAATGATGTTTTTTTCTTTCCAAAGCAGAAGACCTCTACTTCTATTGCTGAGCTCTCACTGGTAACATTTAACACCCATGGATCTTATTCTGGTATGTGCTGTACAGTCTGCTTGTTCCTTGTTCATGGTATTAATATCCACAATACTTACTGTGGAATGATGAAACTCTTGAGTTTGACTACACAGCATCTTCATATTTTCTTATCTATGCAGGTTTTTTGGTGCAACGGAGTGGGTGGACAAGAAATGTTGACATCTTCCTTCAATGGTTATCAGCCATACCATTTACGGGTGGTGGTTTCGGGGATGCTGCTATTGCAGAAGGGCTTTCTGAAGCTCTAATGGTACACTTCATTTCGTAATTCTTTGTCAAAATTCTTGCATTTTGCCTCTAGATAATTCTTTAGTGTATGCATTTCTCTTGTAATTAAATGCCTATTTACCTTTACTGTGTATATGCTATCTATGTTGGTAAGATGTTTCAAGTTCCTCCGAATGGGAGCCAGAGTCAACAGAATTTGGATTTCCAGAGACACTGTGTTCTTGTTGCTGCAAGTAACCCTCACCCTTTGCCCACACCAGTATATAGACCTCAAATACAAAATTTGGAGCAGAGTGAAAACATCAATGTGCAGGCAGAGAGTCAGCTATCCGATGCAGAAGCAGTTGCCAAATTATTTTCTCAGGTATGACGTTAGAACATTTCTTTCTTATTGACTATGTTGCAATCTTCATCTCCTGAGATAATTTTCTCACCTGGTGACTGACACCCGCTTTCTATTGCAGTGTTCTGTTTCTCTGTCTGTAATTTGTCCAAAGCAGCTTCCAAAACTCAGAGCAATCTTCAATGCTGTAAGGATGAAAATAATCTGTACCTAGGATCTTCGATTGCCTTCACAGCAGAGTTCTTATTAGATATTGTTTTCCGTTTAGACTGGCTTTTCCCTACACTTTCAAGCTTTGGTTGGCACTGTTAATGACTACAAAACAATGTTTGTTTTCCGGTAAACGCTATAAAAGAATTTTGTCAACTATGGTTGTATCATTGTGTTTTAATGTAAGGATCAGAGATGACTAGATCATGAATTAGTCATTTGAAGGGTAAGAGGAAAGGACTGAAGGATCATCCTTTTGTTGCATTGTGTACTACTTCCATATATGTTAAAGATGTACATGAGATTGCTTACTGTTTGTCCAGTGATTGTTAGTTGGGCGTCCAACTGATTACTAATCCTTACTTATGTAGGGAAAGCACAGCACACGTGCTACCGATTCACCTTTTGACACTGCCAAGAACCCTCATTTTCTTCTCCTAATCTCTGAAAGTTTCATGGAAGCTCATGCTTCTGTAAACGGGCCTGGAGTGACGAATATACCTTCTAACCAGAGTCTTGTCAAAATGGATGTTTCTTCAGTTAGCGCAGTTGCGGGACCTTCTCCAGCTCAAGTTCCATCAGGTTAGTTGCTTTCGCTAGTGATGTGAAATTTATTGACGACCCTTTCTCTCTCTGATTCCTTATCATCCCCAATCTTTTATAATAGTGGTTAGAATGTACGAAATATTTTTATTTTATTTAGTTTTCTGTAACTTCAGCTTAACAGCTTGCTCAAGTTGTTCATTTTCTCTTTTGGAGTCTTGAATCAGTTGTTACTGCAGTTTGTTTCTTATGTCCTACCTTTACAAACTCATGACATACATATCCATGATCATACTGGCATCTCTGCAATCTTAAAGTAAACCTGATAGGAGGTTGTTAGTAAAGCCACCAGGTGGGCCTACAGTAAGACTAAACTATAAAAACAGTTAGCAAGAGGCAGGGGTTATTATATTTTCATCACATACAAGGTCTTCTTGTTGCTTCTATGTATTTTTTGCTTGCAATACTGCTAGCTTGTGCATTGATAATCCACGTAGGAACATTGACTTTGTTTTTTGTTTCAGCGAATGGCTCTATGATTAACCGGCCTTCAATTTCTACTGGGAGTGTACCCATGGCAACTGTAAAAGTTGTGAGTGCTTATTGTCTGGTTCTTTATTTAACTTTTGACGGTATTGTCAGTGTTCTCCTGATAATAGATTCTTATGCTTTTCTGCCTAGGAACCAAGTACTGTGACATCATTACAAACTGGACCTGGCTTTCCACATCTTCCATCAGTTGCACGTCCAACTTCTCAAGGTCCAAGTTTGCAAACTTCCTCACCAATGTCAACTACTCAAGAGATGATCTCGAACACTGAGACTATTCAGGACTTAAAACCTGCTGTTAGTGGGATGGCACAATCTGTTCGTCCAGTGGCCACTGCAGCAGCAAATGTCAGCATACTGAATAATCTTTCTCAAGCTCGACAAGTGATGAACTCTGCAGCCTTAACTGGTGGAACATCTATGGGTCTTCCATCAATGAATCAAACGTCTGTTGCCATGCATATGTCAAATATGATATCAAGTGGAATGGCATCTTCTGTACCTGCTCAAACTGTTTTCTCATCTGCGCAAAATCCGATGACATCAATAGCAGGATCGGGGACTCTTACAGCAACTTCACAAGTTCCCCAGAGCTCTGGTATTGGAACATTCACTTCTGGAGTTACTAATGTGACAGGGAACTCAAACCTGGGGGTCTCACAACCAATGAACA